TTATTTTGAGATATAGTTTGAGATCATCTGCAAATAATAAATGTGGACAGCTAATAATATCAGATATGTCATTAATAAAAATAATAAATAGTTTAAAACATTCATATGTTAGAAATTGTGGTGATGAGTCCTGAAGAACTCAAAAAAACAAATAATAAAATTTATGATTCTGAAGAACCGGTACCGCTATACCTTTATTACCTTGATTACTTTTCAAAAAGCTGTTCAGGTCGCACCTTTTGCATTGCTATGTTAAAATTTTTACATATGGTAGTTAACAGCACGTGCTGTAACTCCTCAAATTAGTAAATAAAGTAATTAGTAAAAAATTAATGCCACTTACACCTATTTTCTTCTTCCAGTTACGTCATGTTTGTCCAGCCAGCCCTTGCCCTCAGCACCCAGGTCATGGTGTCCCACCCATCTCCATCTAGACTGAATCAAGAAAGACTCTTCGAATCTTCTTTGACACCTCTTGCCAAAAAATCATTAGTGGCTCTGCATCCGATACAGTCAGCAGGAGCTGTCAAGTTTCCTGAGGCTCGTCTGGTGCAATACGATTGTGGAAAATTGCAAATTTTAGATGGATTGTTGAGGAAACTGAAGAGGGAAAGTCATAGGGTGCTAATCTTCACACAGATGACCAGGATGTTGGATGTCTTGGAAGCATTCTTGAACTATCATGGACATGTTTATTTGAGGCTGGATGGTACCACTAAAGTTGATCAGAGACAGGTAAAAAGAAAACTAGTAAAGGATTTATAGATTTTTACACACAGTTTAATACTAATCATGTGTCATTTTCCTCCAGGTTCTTATGGAAAGATTTAACAACGACAAGCGCATTTTCGTTTTTATTCTATCAACCCGATCAGGTGGTGTCGGTGTCAACCTTACAGGTGCGGACACCGTCATCTTTTACGATTCGGATTGGAATCCCACGATGGACGCTCAGGCTCAGGATCGTTGTCACAGGATAGGACAGACTAAGGATGTTCACATTTACAGACTTGTCAGCGAGAAGACAATTGAGGAGAATATTTTGAAGAAGGCTAACCAGAAGAGGCTGCTCGGCGATTTGGCTATCGAGGGCGGCAACTTTACGACTGCATACTTCAAATCGGTAAGGATAATAGATACATGTATATTATTAAAATAATATGTATCATTTTTAACTAAACATGAACACAGGAAGGAAGAAAAATAGTAATTTATTGAATTTTTTAGATAATGTTGTCTAAAGAATTCAGCTTTTGTTTGTCTTCTTACTCAAATTAATGTTTTTATTGTTCCCTTTCAGCAAAACACCATTCAGGATCTTTTTGCTGTTGACTCAACCCAGGATGATGCTTCTCAAAGGATGGCAGAGATTTTGGAGCAGAATAAGCAGAGGATGGAAAAACTGTCTAAGAGTGATTCAGCTACGGGTTTGCCTTTGGAGAAGGTAATTAATTAACCATTAATATCTTAAAGAGAAATTTATTTCTTGACAGAAAATCTAATTTTATAATTTTATATTCATAGTTATTCTGATTTGTTTATCCTTCAGACAATTGTGTGTTTTAATTCTATCCATTTTCGTTTTACAGACTGCTGCAGGAGCCCTGGAATCTGCAATGAACCAATGCGAGGACGACCAGGACGCGATGGCGGCGAAAACTGCGACCGCCGAGATGTCTGCTGATCTGGAGGAGTTTGACGAAAGCATTCCAATAAATCAAGAAAACAATGAAGGATTGAGCAAGGCTGAAATTGAAGTACGGAGGCTTTTGGAACAGGTAATAATTGATATAATTTCAATATGGGTGCAAAGAAGTTTTTAACTTCCCGAAGGAGAAGTTTATGTTTTCATCAAAAAATCCGACTCGCTAATTTTATGTTTTCTCGACGTTTCAAGCCATTCTGAATCGAATGAGACCAAATTTGGAAAAAGTATTGTGTGCGCGTGTGCGTGTGCACCAACAGATTTTTTGCCGTAAATCGACGTTTTCTCAAAAACGGCTGGGCCGAGTTCAAAAATTTAAAAGCCATTCGATGTATCTCGATGAGGACTATTGTTTGTCAGTTTTGTGCGGCGATCGGCCAAGCCGTTTCTTCGTAAATAAAGAGAAGTGAAAAGTTTTTCGTCCACGTTTTAGCCCGCAATTCTGAATCGATTTTGAAAATTAAAAAATCGTTCGAAAGATATTGGTTGGGAATCGACCTGATTAGTTTTGGTAGAGATCGGCCGGGCCGTTTCTTGTAATAAAGTTTAAAAAAAAAAAAATCGACGATTTTTATGATTATTTTTTTGACGGTTGATACCATAGTCTTCTAGATCATACTAAAATATTACGGCCCTACAACAACTCGTTTAAACTTTAAAAATTCGTCAAAGTTTGCAAAAATTGGTATCGTTTTTTTTGGCATTTGTCAAAATTAGACCTTTGATCGACGTTTTCTCAAAAACGCCTGAACCGATTTTAGAAATTTAAAAGCCATTTGATGTATTTCGGTGAGGACTATCGTTTGTCAGTTTTGTGTGACGATCTACCAAGCCGTTTCTTTGCAATTTGAAAAAAAAGTGTTAAACTTTTCGTCCACATTTAAGCTCATCCTACCGAACCGATTTTAAAAAATCAAAAACTGTTCGAAAGATATTAGTTGGAAATAGTACTGATTAATTTTAGGTGAAAATCTACCAAGCCTTTTTCTTGTAATTAACTGTTGAAAAAAAAATTTAAGCCGATTTTCATGGAACTTTTTTTGGCGATATACATCGTGGTCTTATAGAACTTACTGTAATATTGCGGCCTTACGACAAGTAGTTTAATTTTAAAAATTCGTCAAACTTTGCTAAAATTATTATCGTTTTTTTTTAAAGTAGGAATGATGAAGTATATTATTTACACATTTTTTTCTTGATTAAGTCGATTATTTAAACATATCGGGAAGTTCATTTAACTTGCCTCAAGGCTAAATACCAAACCGACTAGTTGTATGTATTTATATCGTTTTTTTTTTTCAGTTGAATCCTTTAGAAAAATACGCGATGAATTTCCTAGAACAGCACGACGGCGGTTGCTTCTCCGCGGAGCAACTGGCTTTGGCTGAAGCAGAAATTGAGGAAAAACGTTTAGAATGGGAAAAGAATCGTCTGGAAGCCCTGAGACAGGAGCAGATGGAATTGGACAAACGGAATGCCCAAGACGATGAGAACTATCAGAACTCACCCTATTCAGCAAACGATTTGACGTATCCGCGAGATGATGCTTTGAATCAGGTTAATGAAACAAACAATTCTTCTAAGATTGGTAGAAAGAGGAATAGAGTTAGATTGAAGAGGAAGTTGAGGAAGAAAGCTAGAATTAATACCAACGACGACAGTAATTTGTCGACATTGAATGATGACTCAAAGTCCGCGATGGACGCATCAGACGATGATTTGCCAGTGTCATCATTTAGAAATAGCAGCGTTGTCGAAAACAACACGTCCGATTCTAAACCAAAAACTTTAACCAAACTCATAAATTCCGATGTCAACAGTCCCAGGACGCGTTCGACAGGTAAAATCCCTTTAAATCTTTGGACTTTAGACGTCAGTCCAATCCTGCCAGGTGTAAAACCTGTCGTAAACAAAGTGACAAAGAACGGTCCCGGTAAATTAAAAAATAGCAAATTAAAAAGTAAGAATAAGAATTTCAGTGGCTTTAAATCGGTTAGTGATACTAATTTAGACTTAAGCTCAGATTTAGATAGTGATGATAGTTGGGTGGATGATAAATGTGAAACGAATGATTCTAATAATAAGAATAGTTTAAATAAATTAAACAACACTGTTGTATTAGACGCTTTGGATACGGAGTTAATAATTAATAACGCGTGCACGAAATTATTGAACGACAATCACATCTCGAAGATGGATGAAGTTTGTTTAGGGAACGACTCTGATCTCGGCATTGAGAGGCTACCGAAAAAAGTAGAAGATGAATCATCGACCGAAATTGATTCATCGACACAATCGGTTATTAATGTAACTCAGAGCAATGGTTCTTCAAATAAAATAAAAAGCAGGTCGAGAAAATGGGCGATCATGCCTAGTAATAATAGAACTTTGGACGGTTGGCTGGTTAAGTCACCTAAAAATATAAGTAGGGAGAACTGCACGGAAAATAATATTTCTGGTAATAAAAGTATTGTAGGGAAAACCAAAACTAAGAAGTTTCTGAAACAGACTTCGGACGATATTATGATTAAACGGAAAACGAGACAATCGGTGTCTTTGGCAAAGAGTGAAGGGAAATAGTTAGTTTTGGTAATTTCATTTTTGTATGTACATAATTATGAAAAACACACACATACATACATATATATATATATATATATATATATTCCTGGATTTGCTGAAACAATCCTGGATTTCAAAATATTTGCTTTCTTGAATGTTTCTTTCAAATGTTCTTAATTATGGCGTGTCGGAACTTGATATGTTCCATCACCGGAGTTTTTTTTTTTGTATCAAAAATAAATTGCTTAATGTAACTATATTTATGACGAACTATAATAATCAATTATGGTATAATCAAATTATTCATTAATTTTTAAATAAATTTAGTTTTGGACAAAAAAACTGGTGATGGGACTTAACTAGTTCTGATATCTGAAAATTTTCAAAAAAATTATATATATATATATATATATATATATATATAGAATTTTATGATATATATATATATATATATATATATATTTGTATGTGTGTTTTATAAACAAGTACATTCAATTTTTTTATTCAAATAATTTCAGAATATAATAAAGTGTCATTCATGAAATAATAAGAATGATTATGAATTCAATTATCGGACGTCCCGAGTTTTCGACAACGTTGCTTTTAAGAATGATACATATTTTTTAATGTTAAAAACATTTGTATGTAACTTGTATATATTTTGTTAGAAAAGCAATAATCGATGCGTTTTATAACATTATTTTGGTCCTACTTAATTATGAAGGCATCGATTTTTGTTTTCTTACCTCTGAATGAAAAAGTGGATAAAATTTGCCAAAATAAATGAAGGGATAATGAAGTGTTTTACGTATTAAAAGACTTTTTTAATTAAAATCAGTGTAATTATTTATTTGTTTAGACAATTGTTGTACAGAACGATTTTAACCGTACCGCAAGGGCTAAAACTTGAAATGTATAAATGGAAATTAATTTTTACTCGTTGTATGATAAATTATGTAAATGTATTTGTTTAAGTTATTTAAGATTTAGTATTAATTATGATTATTATATATTAAAATTTATTATCATGGAAAAAAATGTGCAAGATGAGAATTTAAAAAAAAAAAAAACTGAAACTGAAATAAAAATGCATTGCAATTGTAGAAATGTTTTTTGAGTGATATTTTTCCTTGCCTTGGCTAATATTTTGTATATTTATATATACAATTATTTATAAAATCGTGTTCGCGGTTGGAAAGGGATAACTCTAAATTTTTGAGTTTTTATTCAACAATAAATTTAAAATGAGTGTTTGTAACCAAGTATATATGTTTATATGTCTTCTTCCAACATATATACATATATATTATTTTTGGTGTCAAAAAAAACTTTCAAAGTGTGTCTTTGCTTTGTTATTAAGTCTCTTTAAACAACAAAATTTGGTCGTTTACACAAAAAACATTGAAATGGCAAATTTATTATATTTATTTTATATTATCTTTTTTTTTATCAAAAATTGGCACCAAATTTTGGATGTTTGTGATGAAAACATAAAAATTAAGAGTTTGCCATTCCAAAATGAATTGAATTTTGTTTGTGAGCATATTAGCAAAGCAAGGATTTTAAATCACTTAAAAAATTGTTGTTTATATGAAAAGTCGCTCATTTCATTTTTCATTTATGATAAATTTTAATACGGTAGAGTTATCCCTTCATTTATTGATTTTTTTTTAAATTTTATGTGGTGGTTGTTGAAAATATTCATATGCACACACACACACATATATATATATATATATACACACATACACACACACATATATATATATATATATATACACATACATACATAAATTTGTTTGGTAACATTGTCTGATGATGATAAAGTGTTCCGAGGCACATATCAATTTTGTTTCTATGGGTCATTTTGAGAAATTTTTCAAAGAAACTATATAACTCACGCAAATAAAATATTTCTGTCCGGATATATAAAAAAGATTGTACAATTTCCTACAATTTTTTCTGTATTCTTTATCTAGTCTATGTTCAGCTAAAAAAAATCAATGTCAGGTGCCAAAAGTTTATTGGATAATGTCCCAGATTCAGTTCAGTTAAAAAATTTGCTGACTGGAAATTTGACTTCAAGCTATGGTTTATTTGGTAAAAATAATAAAAATTTTGCAAAATGCCCCAATGGACAAAAAATTTGTGTGCCCAAATATATATTTATACATGTATATACATAATTTCTTTTACCAGAGTATTTGTGGTAAGTACTGATAATATTTTTGTATTGCACTTTTATATATCAATAATTCATCATAATTTATGCAAGGAAATTGTTGATTTTCAGGAATGGATCGATGAAAAGACTTTGGCTCAAATGCCGGTAAGACTTTTCTTAATATTTAAGTTATTTATTTTATTTTAACTTAAACACATTATCTTAACTAAAAAATTACTTAATACCATTCTTAATGTAATGCACAAAATAAAGTAAATGAGCAACCATACCGTAAGAAACTACTCCTAATTCCAATACTTAATACTTTGACTGGTTTTATGACTGACCACTTTTTCTATTTTTTTTTTGTCAATCGTCCAAAACCAGTTTTATATTTTAATCTCTGCTTTCTTAAATAAATGCAATCTTAATTAATCGTCCTCAATCAGCACAGCTTTTTTTGCTCTGCAGGTTTTTTGTTCTGCTTTCTTCCATAAATATTATCTTGATTAAATGTGTTTTCTCCTAAAAAGACAATGTTACACATTTTGTATTGCTTGACAAGATAGAACTTGATGAAGTTTCTATTTTGTCCATATCCTGGTTTAACCAGAGGTTTTTTGTTTGTTTAAAAATTTGAATTGGATGTTTGAATCATAAGTACTGGTAACTGTTATATCGTATGGACAATTGAAGAACAATTTTCAACAATAAATATTAAGAAATTCTAACTTCTTATATTATTTTACATAATACTTTATCACAGATAAGAATATCCTATTTTGTTTATATTCATGTTTCCTACTCCCCCAGCTCTGGTGTCCACCGACACCTCCCCAAGGCGAAGGCGACATTTACATAGACGCCAATCTCCAACTACTGTACGACACCACTGAAATAATGACAGAAGCCCAACTGCCACCAGTTTATCAACCTCCAATGCAGCACCAAACACAGCAGCACAGGAGCAACTCCAGTATTGGGAGTGGAACTAGTGGTACAAACAAGAGGAAGATTGGATCAAGTGGTCAAGCAAGTTCTAGTGGACAACTTGGCGGACATGGAGAAGGTAACAAAACTGAGACTTGGTTAATGAGTGTCCATTATTATTTTTGTGTGTCCTTTACCTGCCAGGTCGTCGTCCAACTAAATACCAACGCTTTATGGCGTCAGCTTCCAACAGACAGGATCATGTGTCTTCTGCTTCAGGTCTTGATCATCATCAGAATTTGATGATGCATCATTTCCATCATGCTACTGATGGATTAGCAGCTCCTAGCAAATATCCGAGGAGTTTGTTCACGAAACCGGTTTCGGCATCTTCTGCAGCCACCAGGGCGAAACGGGATGCCAAGTTGAGGTATCAGCAATATCAGCAACATGTTGCTGCTGTTAATTCTGGACAGAGAGGTGAGTGGAAAGATTGGATAGACGTTTTGTAATTTTTTGAGTGATTATAAATGTTGTTTGTTTTTTCTAGGGTTGCATAAAGGCAATAAGCATATGATGCAAGCAGAATCTGATGTGATTTTGGAATGGTGAGTAATTTTACAAAAAATTTAGATTGCTTTATTCTTTCTTATTGTTAGTATTGATATAATAGTCGATATTTTGCAATTCCTGATCTCCTACTGTCTCTGAAATGAAAATGAAAAATATTCCAATTAGTTACAGAATATTTTTTCTTCCAGGTTGATTCATGAAGATTGGGCTTTGATACAGGCTATAACTAAATATCAAGGTAATTATGTATTATTATTATTTATTAGAAATTGGCTTATTTTTACCACTGGAAATATTAGTGTAATTTCAATCTTAAATTTGTCCAGGACTTCCTTTACTTCTGGAACCGAGTGCCCCAGGCCACACAGTAAATTGGGATTTGGTGTCAGACATGGTGAATGCTGTTTCCAGGATATACAGATCAACCAAACAGTGCCGTTTGCGTTATGAAAACGTCATTGTTCCAAGAGAATTAGGTATTTACCAACCATTGCAGCAATTGAATAGCAATGCAGGAAATGCAGCAGCACAAGCACAAGGAGCAGGCAACAAGCGCTTTAAGAAGAATGGAGCACCAGCTGCAAGTGGTAGAGGTAAAAACGAAATAAATTATTTGATTTTGAGTTGTTATTCATAATTTATTTTCCTTCAGGGACTCCAACGTCGGGCGGTTCAGCTCGAGCTCGTGCAGGTGCCAACCAGGCTCTTCTAGGCAATTTGAATCCACAGCCCCGCACAGAGCAGCTGATTGCACAGGATAATGGTGCGGCCTTTGCAAGACTTCGCAGATTGAGGATTGAAAATATAAAGGCAGTGACTGCTAGAAAACAGCAGAGTGCTGCTGGACATGCAGCTGCTGGTAGACAACAAGGCACAAATACAGCGAGTGGGAATAGTAAACATGCTCTTGTTTTTCAAGATTTTGGTATTAACTATGATATGCCTTTAAAACCTGAAGAGGTAGCTCAACGTCGTGCAGAGCGTATCGCCAAGGAGAAGCAGAAACAGCAATCAACTTTGATACAACAACAACAATTTCAACAACAGCAGCAGCAGCAACAGCACAATCCACCGCAGGTTCAACAAGCCCTGCAGCAATCTGTACAGCAACAGTCTACGGTGCAGCAGCAACAAGTGAAGACACAGGAAGGAATAAAATACTTGCAACAGAAACCTGATGGTACCAGCGTGGCTGTGAAGCAGCAGAGTATTTCTTTGGCGAATGCTCCGATAATAATACAGCAGACAGGGACAGCTGGAGGAACAGTAGTTGTTTCACAACAGCAATTGCAACAAGCAGCTGCTGGTGGAGGCGTTTTGGTTGCTTCTGGGCTCCGAGCTCAGAGGATAGGTAAGATGATAATAATTTTAGTATCTCTGATTTATTTTTTATAATAATTTCTTATTCTAGTTACTCCGAGCAGTCTCCAAGAAGCACTTCGCCAGCGTGTCTTGTCTTCCTCGCAGCAACAAGCTACTATTGCTGCCGGCAGTAGTTCAGGTGGCGTCGTCACAGTTGGCGGTACAGCTATTTCAGGAGGCGTTTCGACTGCTGGTGGAATCACGCAGGCGCAGCTGCAGGCGAGATTGCATGGACAGCTGGCGCAACAGACTGTGGCTGTCGTTAGTAAATGTAAGATGGAAAATTACACTTGTTGGAAAGTTTGTATTTTTTTTTGACGTTTTATTTTTCTTGGTTTAGGTGTGACTGGTGTTCCAACTTCAACTGTGACCCAGCAAGTAGGCGTAGGACAGCAGCAGCAGACGGTGGGTGTGACAAGAAGTGTGACGCCTGCGCAGTTGCTTCTGTATAAGCAGAGGGCTCTTGCGCAGCATGTGCAGCAGCAACAGCAGCAGAGACCACATTTATTACATGCTGTTCAAGGTAAATAAGTAAATTTATCATTATTTTGTTAACCCAATAAAGTAATTGAGTCTTACTGATTTATAAAATTTCATGTAATTTGCAGGAAGTCCTCAGATCATTGCATCACTTACTGGTAATGCTCAAGCTGGACAGAAAGTGTCTATTGCTTCGTTTTCATCTCTTGGAGCAATAACTGTGGCACAGCCTGGCAGGGCACAGGTATGATGAAAACAAATGAATTTATATCAGGTGCAGTACTTTCTTTACATTATACTTTTTTCTATTTTTAGGTTGTAAAGCAACTAGCACCAGGTAAGCAGTCGGTAACAAGACAGTTGACAGAAGCAGACGTTACTGCTTTGCTGCTCAAGAAGCAAATGCAGCAGCAGCAACAGCTTAAGGTAAAAGTTTTATTTGTGCATTTGAACTTTTAAATCATTTGATTAATATAATTCGCTATCTTATACGCAATTGAACATTAAACCTATCGGAGTATATATAATAATCATTTATTACTAATAAGTCTATTACATTTCAGAATGCTGCTGCGGCAGGCACTAAAGCCAACGTGACAGCAAACATAGCCCTCCAGCAATCTGCAGTGTCCTCCACCAACACTGCTGCTGCTGCCGTGGTTGGCGGAAGTACATCAGCCGCCCTGACAGCTGCAGGAGGAACTGCTGTCAGAGCTACTGCGCAGCAGTTTAGACAATTGCAGCAGCAGATGGCGGCGCTGCAGCGGTCGAGGCAACAGCAGCAAGGGAAGCAGCAGCTGCAGCAGCAGTTACAGCAACACCAACAGGTAGAAGGAGATAATTGACTCTTCTTAATTCAGAATACATCATTCATATTAGTCAAGTAGAATAAAGGTTACAAGAAGTTTTCTGTTTTTTTTCCCAGGTGGTGAGCAAAGCAGGTGGAACAACAACAGTCCCAGCTCAGTTAGTTCTGCAGCAGGCACCGCGATTGGCAGGAACTCAACATGTCGTAAGTCATCAGGTAATTTTATTTGCAAAAACAAAAATTTATCATATCAACTTATAAAGGACCTTTCAATAACCAATAAACATTTTAGAACAATTATTCATTCATAGCACTTCATTTATCGTATATACATTTATTCTGTTATCCAAGTTGATATAAAATTTTTGGTTTTGTGATGTATCGAGAACTTGGATTCATGTTTTTTTTTTTATTTTAGGTGATTGGAAGAGTTTCAGGTGGAACACCTTTGATTTTAGGCAAAGTTAACCAGGGAGTGGCTCGGGCTCAGGGCAGACAGACAATTCAGGTAAATGATAAAGGGCTTTTAAGGACGTTTCAAAATTTGTAACTTGCAGATTTATAATTTATAATTCATTGCTTTTTTATTATTTTTTGCATTATATATTTAATATTTATTAATAATTATTGTTTTTATTAATATAAAATGTTTTTTCTATTCAGGTTGTAAATGCTACTACAAGTGGTCTAAGAGCAGCAGGATCATTATCGCAGCAGCAAGGTTTAAGGCATACTTTACAATTCGCTCAGGTAATTTTTTAACATATATATTTTAGATTCATCTCGTTCACAAGTTTGTTTTTACCAGAAAATCCGATTTCCTTAATTTTTTGCTTCAAGTAATATAAATATAAATATAAATATAAATATAAATATAAATATAAATATAAATATAAATATAAATATAAATAAATATAAATATAAATATAAATATAAATAAATATAAATATAAATATAAATACAAATACAAATACAAATATAAATATAAATATAAATACAAACATAAATATAAATATAAATATAAATACAAATATAAATACAAATACAAATATATTCAATTCAATATTCAAGTCATTCTGAAACTTTTCACACCGAATCGGTACAAGTGTTAAATGTGATCTTTTACCGCGGATTTCTCGAAAACGGCTGCACCGATTTTAAAAATTTAAAAACCATTTGATGAAACTTTATCAGGACTCGAGTTTATTAGTTTTGTGCGACTATCGGCTGAGCCGTTTCTTTATGATTGGCACATTAGTGCTAAATACATCTCTTCTGTAGTTAGGAATCGTTGTGATTAGTTTCGGAAAAAATGTAACATAGGTTTTTTAGGTAACATCTTATTTAACGAGCTCGTCAGGATAATGTTTTAATTTCAATTTTTATGCACTGACGATCAGCGATTGCGATTTGATATTGCTCCTTGCTTTTGCAGCAGTGCTAGATTGAAAAAAAAAGGCACAAACCAGCGTAGTTCATAAACAATTTATGATTGTGATCTCAAGATTTTGTGACACATTTAAAATGAATAAATAAATAAATGTAAATAGTATATATAGTATATATAATATAATTTTTATACTAACAGATTCCTGGACATATAACAACACAAGTAAATGCATCCCCGAGAGCTCAGACACCAACTACACAGCAGCAGGCACAACAACAACAGCAACAGCAACAGAATCAGGTATTTATTAATAATAATAATAATTGATAAAAGAGTAATAAAACAGGTAAAAAAATAGAAGATTATTAAAATTTAAATATCAAAATAAAGGGGTCTGAAATTTTTGTAGAGTCTGAAAATGTTAGAGTGTCTGAAAATGTGTAGAGTGTCTGAAAATATTGCAGAGTGTCTGAAAATATTGCAGAGTGCCTGAAAATATTGCAGAGTGCCTGAAAATGTTGTAGAGTGTCTGAAAATGTTGTAAGTACAAGAAAATGTTTTAGAATGTCTGAAAATGTTGTAGAGTGTCTGAAAATGTTGTAAGTACTGAAAATGTTGTAGAGTATCTGAAAATGTTCTAGGGAAGTCTGAAAATGTTGTAGGGTGTCTGAAAATATTGTAGAGTGTCTGAAAATATTGTAGAGTGTCTGAAAATATTGTAGAGTGTCTGAAATGTTGTAGAGTGTCTGAAAATGTGTAGAGTGTCTGGAAATGTTGTAGAGTGTCTGGAAATGTTGTAGAGTGTCTGAGAATGTTGCAGAGTGTCCAGGAACTGTTGTAGAGTGTCTGAAAATGTTGTAGAGTGTCTGAAAATGTTGTAGAGGGTCTAGAACTGTCGTAGAGTTTCTGAAAATACTGGGTAGTGTCTGAAAATATTGTAGAGTGTCTGAAAATATTGTAGATTGTCTGAAAATGTCGTAGAGTGTCTGAAAATGTTGTAGAGTGTCTGAAAATGTTGTAGAGTGTCTGAAAATGTTGTAGAGTGTCTGAAAATGTTGTAGAGTGTCTGAAAATGTTGTAGAGTGTTTTAGAATGTTGTAGAGTGTTTGAAAAATGTTGTAGAGTGTCTGAAAATAGTGTAGATGTCTTGAAATATTGTAGATTGTCTGAAAATGTCGTAAGTTCTGAAAATGTCTAGAGTGTCTGAAATGTTGCAGAGTGTCTGAAAATTTTAGAGTTCTGAAATGTTGTAGAGATGTCTGGAAATGTTGTAGAGTGTCTGAAAATTTTGTAGAGTGTCTGAAAATGTTGTAGAGTGTCAGAAAATGTTGTAGAGTGCCTGAAAATGTTGTAGATTGTCTGAAAATGTCGTAGATTGTCTGAAAATGTCGTAGAGTATCTGAAAATGTTGTAGAGTGTCTGAAAATGTTGCAGAGTGTCTGAAAATGTTAGTAAAATTTGATCTTCTAAATTTTCTTTTGTGGTAGAGTGCTGATAATGTTGTAGAGTGTCTGATAATGTTGTAGAGTGTCTGAAATGTTGTAGAGTGTCTGAAAATATTGTAGAGTGTCTGAAAATGTTGTAGAGTATCTGAAAATGTCGTAGAGTGTCTGAAAATGTTGCAGAGTGTCTGAAAATGTTGTAGAGTGTCTGAAAATGTTGTAGAGTGTCTGAAATGTTGTAGAGTGTCTGAAAATATTGTAGAGTGTCTGAAAAAAATGTTGTAGAGTGTCAGAAAATGTTGTAGAGTGCCTGAAAATGTCGTAGATTGTCTGAAAATGTCGTAGAGTATCTGAAAATGTTGTAGAGTGTCTGAAAATGTTGCAGAGTGTCTGAAAATGTAGTAGAGTGCCTGATAATGTTGTAGAGTGTCTGAAAATGTTGTAGAGTGTCTGAAAATGTTTAGAGTGTCTGAAAATGTTGTAGAGTGTCTGAAAATGTTGTAGAGTGTCTGAAAATGTTGTAGAGTGTCTGAAAATGTTGTAGAGTGTCTGAAAATGTTGTAGAGTGTCTGATAATGTTGCAGAGTGTCTGATAATGTTGCAGAGTGTCTGAAAATGTTGCAGAGTGTCTGAAAATGTTGCAGAGTTTCTGAAAGCGTTGTAGAGTGTCTGAAAATGCTGTAGAGTGTCTGAAAATGCTGTTAGTGTCTGAAAATGATGTACAGTGTCTGAAAATGATGTACAGTGTCTGAAAATGTTGTAGAGTGTCTGAAAATATTGTTGAGTGCTTGAAAATGTTGTAGAGTGTCTGAAAATGTTGTAGAGTGTCTGAAAATGTTGTAGAATGGCTGAAAATGTTGTAGAGTGCCTGAAAATGTTGTAGAGTGCCTGAAAATATTGTTGAGTGCTTGAAAATGTTGTAGAGTGTCTGAAAATGAAATCATGAATGCATAGCAACAATATAAATATTACAATTAAATAACAACAACAATTACCAACTAGATCTAAATTAAAATAATTTTATTTATACTGATATTTTTATATATGAGTTTTTTTTTTGTTTCAGCCAAAATAATTAACAACAAGCTTTAACTAGGACAAAATAAATATATATATGAATTATGAAAAAATGAAATTCTGCAAATTATTAACTACAAATTGGTTTTGGAAAAACTGAAAATTGGAGACTATTTTTTATCGATATCATGTTATGTACTATTATGAAAAAACATACACACAATAATGTATATAAATATATGTATATGTATATATTCATATTGTTGTGGGTTTGTTTTTGTGGTTTATAATGAATTAATTCTACTGTATTATAAGTAATGTAACGTACGCTTATTATTTGTATACCTGTTAAAATAAGTTCGAAGTTTTGTAAACATTTATAAATGCATAAATATATATATTTAAATATTTGTGCAATTATATTTGTATCATTGTATATATGTATATGTATTTAGTTGAAATATTGTAAAATTGTATTTATTAAGTAATATTTTTTAACAAATCAAATAAATTTAAAAGAACAGGGATTGGTGCCGTTTGATTTTAATTATTGATCCACTTTAGCATCACTACAAATTTTTATTAACATCGAGACGCTGAGCAAAATGTTAATCATAAATGAAAAACAGAGTGTTAGTGGCATTTTATTTTGACATATATAACTATACTCTTGTTAACTGGATTAATTCTTGTTTTGTTTTTTGTTATAGGTTTTAATTGACATTAAAATGCAACAGAATAAAATAGGTGTAAGTGGCTTTTTATCTGAAGTTTTTGTATATATTAACTCATGTTTACTATTAATTCTTTTTATTCTGATTTTTTATAGATTTTTAGTAACATCGAGTAACATAGAAGAAATGTTATTTAAAATGAAAGAAAAAGAAAAATAACTGCTCTTTAAATTGAAAGGTAATAACAAAATGTTAGTTGCATTTTATCTGCATTTTATAGATAAGCTTACTTTAACTATTATTATTATTTTATTCTGATTTGTTATAGCTTCTAATTATCTGATGACTGATGAAGAAAATATTATTCAAGTGATAGAAAATTTTATTTGAAATGAAAAAAAAAACTATAAGTAATGGGAATTCGAGAAATAATACAAAGATAAAGTGAGTTTTTTTTGTTTTGTTATTGTAAATTGGTACTAGATAAATTTACATTGTTTTTATCTGAATTGAGATAAAACTAGATAAAATTATCTATACCAGTTTAAAGAACTACATTTTTTTTTTGCAAAATAAGGTGCATTTTTTTAGTTGTTTGACTAAAGTCTATATATTTTGTAGACTTCACATTGTTTTTATCCAAGTCAAGATATTCTTTTTTTATTATAAAAGGTGCATAATTCATTTTTTTTAAATTTGATGAAAGTTTCTATAAAACTATATATTTAAAAAATTAAAAAACTAAATGCTTTAAAAAAATAAGGCCATTTTTTTTAGTTTTTTTGGATACAAATGTAGCATTACTTAGTTTTCTTTATTTTATCCTATCGCTAGATAAAGATACTTATTTTGCTTCAGGTAACATATAACGTAAATTAGATATTTTTTTTTTATAAAGCTTTTTTATAAATTTTGCAAACGATGATCGGTTTGTCATTGTAATAATTAGCATTTAGAAATGAACCTTCATTAGAGAAATGAAGTAATTGCTGATTAATAAATTCTATAATATTTGTTCAAATATTGTTTTCGCAACTTCACTCATCATGTAATTGTGTATGAAGAACTTCATGTAATTGAAATTAACATACAATCATTGACTGCTTGTATTTTTTTACTTTTTTGCTGGCGATACAATCTCATTATTTGAACAGCTGTAATATCTGCCTTGCCTAAAAATATTTTCCATTTTAATAACTTCAAAGATTTATAGAAACTACGAATAATATAGAAATAATTTTTAATCAATAAACTTACGTTTATTACACGGCACAAATGTTTAATTTGTTTTATTATTTTCAAGGAACAGGATAAAATAATATTCTGATTCAGTACAAATCAAGATTTGTACTACGATGAAACTTTAAAATGTTTATTTATCTATGCCGATTTCCTTGTTGATATCGGTACACATACAACGTTGATGCCGATACGCATACAACGATAGATCTCTATTCACATACACGACGACTAATCACAATCGACCTTTATAGAAATGATCTCATCGAGAGCGAATGACGTACAGTTCATGCGTAACGCTATTTCCGTTGCATTTGTACGGATTTACACCCTAGTCGCGCCTAAAGAAGTTTTACTTAAAAAGATAGATAAAATTATCTATAAATCTGTATGTTTAAATTTTTACGAAACTTTTTAAAGAAATTTTCTAAATGCTCAAATTAGAAATTGCTAATTTTACTTTCGTTGCAATAAAAATTAGGTGCAGTTTTTTTTTAGTTTTTTAGAAATGACCTTATTCTAGATGAAGATACTTTACAGTAGACAATCTTATCTATCGTATATTTATTTACCCCATAAAGGCAATCATGCTTAATACGATTTTTCGTATGATACACCATACTTTAAGTCGGTTCTCTCACTTTGAAACATCAACCCTATCCTGCATAATACGCTTTCTTGCTTTGAATGCGTTTTTTGACCGGTCTTTGGGAAATCGTCTTAACGGGGTTTTACAGCAAGTATATATATATATATATATAATATATATTGTATTTACCATCGCATGTTAAATGAAAATCTTTCAATTACTAAATAAAAAAAACATAACAGTGAAAATACAAAATACAACATCACGCGATCGAATTTGTTGTTAACATTTGTATATTTATATGTATATTTATTTATATGTATATGTGTATATATATAAATTTGTTATAAACAAATTGCTAAAGCATTGTTAACAGGAAAGAAAAGTATTAGAGCATTTGAGAAAATGTATGGATTTCGCTTTCACGCCATTCAGAACACGACATAGAGAAAAAACACGGACGGGAATTTATATTATCTATACATGTAGATAAATAGATAGATAAACTAGTGGGATGCATGGCATTGTGCCTTAAGGCAAATTGCTGGAACTTCCCGTACCGTAATTAAAAATCTTGGTACGGAACCCAAAAAAATTTACACAAAATGTGTACACATTATTAAAATCTCTATAAAATATCTGATAATTTGATGCACATATCTCCAATAAACATTTTTGACCGCCAAATGACATTTTATTAACTTATTTTTATTGAGAGTCCATAACCGCTGGACCTGCCTTTTCAAAAATTCAATCAGTTCTTCATCTTGTCAATACAAGTAAAATGTTTCTTGAATTATTAAAATCGGACGCTCCGTTCTCTTAAAAACTGAGTTACCGTTATTGGCACTTTTTGCTCCGTATCTTTGGAACGGCTAGGCCTGCCTTCGCTAAAAACTAATCAGCACGTCTCCTTATCAATACGAATCGAATGTTTTTTGAATTATTCAAATCGGTTCATCCGTGTTCCTGAAATCGTCGACGAAAATTTGTATCCGCACACACACATACATCCATTTTTTCTAAGGTATGCCAAAATGTTCAGAAACCTTTGAAACGTAAAGATTTCATTTTCGATTTTTTTGCGATTACTATAACTTACGCTACGGGAAGTTAACTAGGTGCGAGGGGCATTTTGCCTTAAGGCCGATTCCTGAATCAAATTTTGACTCACACACAATGTGCTTTTTCCAAATTTGGTCAAAAGACTCAGAATGACTTGAAACGTCCGGTAAATGAAATTGGCAAGCCGGCTTTTCTGTAGAAAACATAAACGTCTCTAGCGGCAATAATAAATGCATGAATAGATAATTAACTAGTGGACAATGGCATCGTACCTTAAGGCAAATTGCTGAAACTTCCAGTGCCGAAAATTAAAATTTGAAAAAAACTTGACTTTTTTACAAAATTTTGACTTTTTGAAAAATTTGATTTTTTTTATATTTAGAACCTTTTTTCAAAGCAATTGCGCTGCTTAGATACTACTGTCGCAGTAATATAAACAAAATTTGTACTCATTTTCAAATCTTTATAAAATACCTGATAGTTTGATGTGCATATGTCTAACGATCATTTTCGGCTTCTTTTTTTATTTTTTTATATGGATCTCCGAAACTGCTGGACCTG